AATTAACAACATTTCTGAGCAGAGTACAAATAGGAGTGAGATGCGTTTTCTCAAGTCAATGCAGAGAAATCAGAGGAGAAGGTCTCTATCCCTAAGAACCTATGCTGAAATTGCTATAAGACTTAATTCGCTCTTTTCGCCTTATCAGGAAGCCGAAAATTTTTCACGGTTCTCATTAATGAGCTACGGCATAATCGAAACTACAGGCTGATAACTTAATACAACAACACTCTACATATAAGACCTGCAAGTCAGTGCATCAATAAAAAAGAGTCTCTAATAGGTTAACCTATAAATGTGTCAAAAAATTTTGATTCTTTAAAAACAGCTTTACAATCCTGGATCTAAGTCGTGAATAATAAAATATTTAAGTTCTGCTTGTTTAAGTCAAATAATGTAGTAAAAATATTAATTTATTAGAGTACTTGGACAGTAATTTAAAAAGTGCATACCCATTCTATTATACTACTTTATAATACCAATGGCATACCCGTAGTTTTCTCTGTAACCCGCACCCTTTGGACGTCCTCTCTTATGTCACCTTATGTCCGGTATATCTTGACGAATAATAGCATATTTTTAGCTTCTTTTACAACTTGCTACGGATGTGGGCCGTGCCGGCCAAGATGGATGAAACTGGTTGATAATTTGTACTCTGGAAACCCTCAGGTATTCCTTAAAGTTATTAATTTCTTGGCAGGATAATAGCAGTCACAGCAAATTGACTTATTTTTGTTCAAGGAAGCCAGAAAAAGTTGATAGAATTGCAAACTATCTCTACCGTCGCATGGCGAATGATCTTCATAGGCGAAATTATCCGTAATTTACCTGGAATATCATTTTTTAGATATGTAAAAATTGCAATCGAGGCTATCAACTCTTTAATTAATGCTTGTCGTGATCAAAGGTTAAATCTTCTTGTTGTCAGTTTTCTAAAAATGATTCAACTTCTTCTCGAAAGCAATAAGCCTGATCTACAAATTTTAGGAACAGATTCTGTATGTTAAATTTACATTATTTGCACTAGTTTATTAAATTTTCTCAAATAGAAGAAGATACTCCTAATTATCATAGGCAATACGACGATTTAGTGGACCACTTTTCCAAAATGTCACACTGTTCATTACCTGAACGTGAACTGAGCAACCGGATCCGAGTTTCTGGGATTATTGGCATCCAAGGCGTTATTCGCAAAACTGCTCGAGACCAACTTCAAATTGACATTCTACAAAGCTCCAGTATGGATAAAATTATTCCTTCGCTGCTGTTCAATATTCACGAAAAGTAAGCTATATTCATTCCGTGTATTCCGTTTACTCGTATGATTTAATCGTTCTTACTCTTAAAGCCCTCCCCTAGATACTCGTGTTCCAGACGATTCTCACTTTGATCCTGCTAGAGAAGCTATGTTTGTTTTCAAAGACATTGTATGTCGTGCTTCCTACACGAATATTAAGCCAGTCGTGACTTCCATCCTTACGTAAGTCAATCCTTCTACCCGTACTCTATATTAGCTGATCTAAAAATATTCCAAGTATTTATTGCGCGTTTTTGATACCTCAAGCCAAACCAACTATTCAG